TTTTTTTTTTTTTTTTTTCAGCCAAGAGCCAAACCTGTAGTGCAAGTTCAGTAACAGTCGAGAAGAACAAAGATTTGATGACTGCATTGGAATAACACTGAAGGGAATGTCATGTAAAGAAAATTAAAGACGAAAATCGCAACGAAAAAAGAGGGCTAGAAACAGTTAGAAAAGTGATTATCCTAAGACACAACATCTAATGTACATAAATTAAAATGGAATCATGTTTTAAAATCAAAATCTTTCGAGGAAATAAAATATGTAAAATTTCATAGGAGTCAATAAAACAAATAATGATGGACTTTGTGTAGTCGGTCAGGAATCAAGAAATTAATAAATAAATTGAGTGATATAGAGAGGGTTTTTATGACAAAAAGGGACATCAGTGCATCTCGATCTTTCTCTAAAAGTGACTCAGTAGTGGCCAGTCGAGACGGAGGGCTGCAATATATATATATATATATGGGCTAGGCTTCTTTTTAAAAAGATCCTCGGCCAAAGATTGCATGGGGAGAGTTTGCGTTCGAAATATTTTGTAAGAAAATGAAATCTTATCTGGATACGATGGACTTTAGGAGAATTGAAGAGAAAGCTGAGCAACTCTACTTTTACATTTTGAAACACGATGAAGTTGCGTGACAAGTTGCACAGCTTTACCCTTTCATGACTTTGACTCCTAGAATTACTACCTTTCCCCTTTTAGTCGGTGAGAGAAAAGGGAAATTCTCTGCCTAGTGGGGGAGGGGAGGGGAGGGAGTGGCAAACAGTTGTCCGAATGGCCAGAACAGCCGCAGAAACAATAATATGAAGCTTTCGATATTTTCTAACGTTAAGATTGAACCAAGTTTCCAATTGGATAGTGAATTTGACAGATCGACTCACCACGAAACCTTACATGATCTACTTACGTGCGCTTTACGTGCATCAGTACGCAAACGAGGGTCAAACAACCTACTTCCGGTCTAGGGACTCTTTACGATGACGTTACCGTGTGTTCGACCAGAAGAACAATGGCGGAACCACCAAGCGCTTTCCATGAATTCGAATATGACACTTCTTTCCCCAAAAGATTTCGATATAGCCGAGCCTTTGACGAAAAAATGTAAGTTAAACAACTATTCTATTCTACTGTCTATAAATATTTGAAGTATTTTGCTTATAAGTTGATTTAAGCAGGGTTTATTTGAGCACTTTTGTCAGCAGAGAAGACTTGCTGAAATATATTTATCTATTTTGATTTCCATAGCCTCTTCTTTGATCCAAAATGCTTGCAGCATTTTACTTTGATTTGTTTTTGTCTTATCTTAACAATTTTTATTTTCATCTTTCTTTTGCATTTTAACCAAATAGTAGTAAAAACCTTAGATTTTTGTGCAAGAGTGAAGACTCGTAAGCTCAGGCAGTATGAATACCAGTGGTAGAGCTTAAATTTTGTGTTTGATAGTAGGGACTTTTCGAGATATTTTCCTTGTTAAAAAAAGTGAATAATATCTCTGCAACTAATATTAACAACATCACAGACTTTTTTTGCAATGGAAGCGTTAATTATTCTTTAGATTGCAGGACAAATTTTCAATCATAATAGATAGAAAGTGTCTTTAAATGAGGGTTGGTTAAATCAGCTTCAATTCAAGCTTTTACATGGTTACCATTCATTTTAAATAGAAATTTCAGTTTCAGTTGACTGTGGTCCAAAAAAGATCTTTTAATTAAGTATTTTTTGAGAATTGGAATGCAAAAGCAGTCGTTTTCATAAAAGATATATGCAAAAGATTTGGGGTTAATTTTGCCCTAAATATGTGTTATTTATATTGGCAAGAAAAAAAATTTCAACATAAAAATATAATAGAATTTTGCAACCAAAATGAAAGGAGTAAACCAGAATCCTTTTTGCTTTAACAGAGTCGACAAGAATGAAGAAAAAAATGAAACAAAGAAAGATACCAGTGTAAGTTTTTACCATGCCATATTCCTTAACCTACATGTGTACACCATTGCCTACTCTTAAAACTCCAGTGCATGCCAGCTTAGCCTTGAATCCAGGAATTGCATGTTTTGTTATCCTGATTTTTTGCATTTGTTTTCGGATCTCATGACTGCAGTTTTAAAAGTCATTAATTGAACATCAGTTATGCAGGAAAGCTACAGTACATTCAACAAGGCAATGTGGCCTAAAATAAAACATTGATTGAACATTGGCATACCATGGAATATCCCACTTGTCACTTGTCTGAAGACTCGTGTGTGTATATCATATCATACATAGGTGCCTCTTGGGATATTTCACAGTGGCGGATCCAGGGGGTTCGAAGGGGTCCACGGAACCCCCCTTGAAGGTTTGATCTTTTAGGTAATAGAAATATGTCTTATATAAATTTTGCTTAAAAGTATCCACAAGGATAATGTTGAACACGAAATGATAAATATTTGCTGTTATAATGTTTAATTTACCTTTAAGTTCTGTTACTAGATAGTAAATTAGGTGATTAGAGCCAATTTTTTTGTTAGACATCAACTAAACAAAAGAGAATTATACACAGTTTAAGAAACGGAACCCCCCTTTGAAAAATCCTGGATCCGCCACTGTTTCATAGTATGCATATATAGTATGCTACAGTATTATTAAATTTTATCGTTTTATTCATGTTCATGAAGTCAATTGAATTTTCTCTTTTCTCTTACAATTAAGCCTAACTACATTAACTTAATATATATCTCAGGGAATATTCACTGATTACCAATCCACCTTCAACAAATAATTATTAGATATTTATAATTCATTAGTTAGTTAATTATTTGTTTGTCATCTTAGCCAAGCCCATTCAATATGACTCCAAGGAACTTTCCAAAAAAGAGGTTTGTTTGATTTCAATAATGCATGCACCCTATCATGTTGCCACAAATTCTATGATTTTGCTTGTATCATACTATTGAGAAGCACTTTAATATTAATAAATACAAGTTTGCTGCAGAAAGTAGTTTTTATTTATGTGTTTTTTCTAGGAACCATTACATCAGGTCATCAATAGCCTCTTATAACAGAACCAGGTAAACCATTTCATTACTCTATCATTGGGATTCCTGTGGCCACAGGTAACCCAAGCAAGACTAACACTATCTTATATACATACTCACAGAGGTAGCTCACTTGGTGGTAACAAAGCTCTAGAACTTGTACGAGCAGCTCTACAGCCTTCTTTAAATGCAGAAATTGAACAAGTATTAAAAAGTTACCATGAGGTACTGTATCCTGTAGTAAAGAAATTTAGCAAAAAACTCTGACAAATGGCTTACAAGAATGTTGATAGCACGCCGCCTGTTTTCATGTCCTCTTGATGATGTCACAGCATCAACAGTAGCTTTGAAAGCTATTGTCAGTGTGCACTGTCATCTTTCATGCTGCTGGTATGAATATAATTTGAAGCAGGACTTTTCTTTAAAATGAGAAGTTACTTTTTTTCAGATGTTCAAGATGGCTGCAGTTAATGCAAGAGAGAATACTGGTGAGACCATTACTGAAGAGCAAATAAATGCTGTCATTAGAAAGAGCTTAGATGAGGTAAAATCTCACAAGATTTATTGTGTAGTCCTAGAAAATAATCTTGGGTGACTTTTAGCTTTGGCATAATGTTTTAAGTGATAAAGCTGTAGCCCCACTAATACCTATCCTCTTCACAGTCAAAGGCCTTACTGAAAACCACTACATAGGTGTTAGCCCCCAACAAGTTTATATTCTCAAATAAAAGGGTTTCTTAGTAACTCCACAGCCTAGACAAATCCTATGACATCCATACTGCAGCACAGAAGAAAGTCAGCTTTTTTCTAATTTTTCTTTGACAGGCCAAGCTGATGTATCGTGTCACAGATACAAGGGGTTCTGTAGAAAAAGTGAAGTATGAAAGAGTCGAAAGGGGAAACAGCCCATCTAGAACAGTTGTAAGAAAAGTAGGTATCCAGGCAATGTTTAGTTAAATCAGCCAACTAGTAGCCTTTTTTTCAGACATCTTTCTTTAAATACCAGTATTTCACTTTATGAGCTTCCTGTGACTAGCGTGTCAAAGAGGTGATATAACAGCTCATTTTCTTTTATACTGTTTTTTAAGAAACGACCTCGACTGGATGTTGACAGAGAAAGGTAAATCTTAGTCCACTAGTCTCCTTTAACAAACGCATGGGAAACCAAAATTTAAATTACTACTTATTTTTAGGTTTAAAAAGTACTCAACTATAGAAATTGAGTTTATATTACGTTGTTTTTCTTTAGGAGTACTGTTGCATCAAGAGCTGCTGATTCAAAGACCATTGCTGCATATGATGTAAGTTCAACCTACTGACACCTCAACAGCGCCCTACCACCAAATAACTGACACCCTGACACCAACCTACTGACACCCCACCAACCACCTACTTACACAAACCTACTGACACCCCACCAACCACCTACTTACACAAACCTGCTGACACCCCACCAACAACCTACCATCAACCTACTGACATCCACCAACACCCTACCATCAACCTACTGACACCCACCAACACCCTACCATCAACCTACTGACACCCACCAACACCCTACCATCAACCTACTGACACCCACCAACATCCTACCATCAACCTACTGACACCCTGCCAACACCCTACCATCAACCTACTGACACCCCACCAACACCCTACTTACACCCACCAACACCCTACCAACCTACTACCAACCTATGGTATACTGACACCAATCAATACTGATGTTTTACCATAGTACACAAACATCATTTCATCTATATTTTTTTTAGTGGGATCCAGAAGGTATCAATGAAGAAACAGAGTTTGTTATGGGAGTCAAAGCAAACAAGTAAGCTTTATTCCAATGAAATTATTCAAATCGTGTAAAGGTTTGAGGAATATGAATGGTAAAATTTGGATATATGCATGTAGAAATGTATTAAATACTAAATAAAAATTTAATAATTTGATTGTTTTTAGAGCCCTTGGTTTTGCTGCTACAAGAGGGAAGTTATACTATAGGCACCCAAATTTATTCAAGGTAAAAATTTAATAATAATTTTTTTAAATGATGAATATTTAATACTAAATCCATTTTTTATATGTCTATATTTATTTTTATTTAATGTAAAAACCACTCTAACATGCTTTTCTTTTGATTGTTAGTATTCAGGTGATTCTGATGACAAGCAGTGGCTGTATGAGCATAGTCAGCTGCCAATAACTGGTGGAAAGGTACTACCCATTGCTTTTACTTTATGCTGCTTGTGCTGCTTCATGTCAATGGCGGCATGTAAATATAGTAGTTATTTATGTACCTTTATTCTGGAAAATCTGTTTGGGATAAATAAAATATATGTGTGTGTATTAAAAGATATATAAGGTTAATAATTTGTGAGACACACTCATGGGACAATGATGCCATTCTTTGCTGTGATCTTTGCTGGCCAAACAAGCTTATAATGAAATTCAAGTTACAATAAGCAAAATCTGTGCAAATTTTTTAGCACTAGACTTGCATGCTTTTCAGATATGGCACATTTTGGTTAACTCATGTTCTGGCTGTTGTCTATAAATTTACACCTTTAAATAAAAATTGGAATTTTTTTGATTCAATGAAAGCCAAAAACTAAATATTGTCATATGAATTCAAATGTTTGTTGCTTAACTGGACTGTTTTTTTTTTGTTCACAGGCATTTTTGATGATTGCCAGTGAGGTTAGGAATCTGGTGCAGACTCACACTGAATACAGGTCAGTATGTACATCAGATTAATGGTGTCTTGTCAAGGTACAAGGTATAATCTATATACAGGTGCGTTAGGTGCATGTGTGGGGGGAGGGGGGTGGGGATGTATTGTAGACACACTCCTAATACAGGTCAGTATATATATCGGATGAGATGGTATCATAGAGATGTCATCTATACAGTTGAGTATACATATTGATATTACAGTGGAGTTCCATTATCTCAACCCTAAATATCTCTAGGGCTCCACTTCCCCCATGGTGCAAAGGTTGCTAAATATGTCTTGTGTGTTTGTTTTTAGAGAGAATGAGAATATCAAGATTGATGACCTGAAAGGATTCAAGGTACCACTATCAATGATTGAAAAGATGAAGGCATATATGAGAAGTAAGTACTATAGAAATCTCAAGCTCACTCTAATATGCTAATTGTATATCAACAACAATAATATAAAGATATAGTGTTTCATACTGAGGTGTTTTTCTCGTTATTAGAAGCAAAACGTGAAGCTGTGAGGAAACGAGCTGAACAAACCAAAGCATTCCCAAAGCCAGAACCAAAGATTGAAATAAAGAAAGAACCAGAAGAGAGTAAAGAAAGTAATGTACTGGAATCAAAGCCACAGGAACAACCAGCAAAAAATGAGGAAACACCTAAAACTGTCTCAGAAACTCAAACAAGTGTGAGCCAGACTTAAATATTTTTCCCTTGTAAAGTAAATTTATCGATTTCGACTTGTAAATTACATATATAGAGGCTTTGCACTGTCACGTGATGGCAGCCATGACAGGAGGCAAAAGGGTAGCTTTCCCTTGGGAAACTTAATTCTTTTTCATGTAAATCAGATTAGACCGCATCCAATTATTGTTCCTGCCTCCTGTCATCGCTGCCATCACGTGATGGTGCAAAGCCTCTATAGGCATGACTAAAGTGCTCGCACTTGATCTGTGAAACATTATGTAGTACTAAGTACTTATTTTTCACATAGTACGAAATAGTGCAATCTCTAATCGTCTCACTATTGTTATTTAGTACAAATTAATGCTAATTGAGTACTACTGTTTTACAGAAAGTGGTTGCCCTCTATGAGAATAACAAACATTAGACAATATCATATATCTAGTAATAATCAATTTAACTACTACTTTCCATATATCAGCTCGTTAGCTAGTCAAACACACAAGCATTCAAACGGGGCTGCAAGTTTCGAATTAAATAACCCTTGAAAGCTCAATTGAATGTTGCGTTTTTGTCCTGTGGACCATTGCATGGAAAGAGGTAAATCTGAAACATGGATGGAGCCAAGATTTTCGCTAGGGAAATCAAACCAATAGCTAAAGTAATGCATGCGAAAAATACTTTTATTTTATACTTTTATAAATTCCTGTATTTCAAAGTTCATCTTTTTCAATATTTCTGAACATGCGCAATGAAAAAAAAACATGTATTTCTAGCATGTGCTAGTTCATGCAATCATGTGTAAGGGCCAGCACAATACAAACTTGTCTATATCTGATGTTTGTTTAGACATTTATGCAAAATTAGTTATCATGCTAGCTTTTTTTCCAATCTCAAAATTAAATTCAACCAAACATATTCTTGAGAAACCTAATTTGAAGTGTGCGAGGCCCACTTCTGCTATTCAATTGAGCTGGTCTAATCCAAAACTAACCACATGGCGAAAGAGGTACTACTTTTTAAAGGTCAGCTAAAATTTCTTTTTTTATTATTTACATTTTGACGATTTTTTTGAGGATCGCCATACATTTTCTTATAATATGACACCACAGAAACCTAGCTTGGGCTATCTGTGCATGATAATAGAGGTAAGAAGATGACAAAACTTGTGTCTTACCATCTCAGAACTATAATATTCCTAAGTCAAGCTGTGTGGTGTATTAATTTGAAAATCTGACTCATTTCTCCACCAACTCAGCTGGGAATTGCACCCAGTCTTCTTGGCTTACAAGCCGAGCGTGCTCTGTTACACTACTGGGTTTGGGGTGGAATTTAGAGAGGAAGGCCAAAACAAAATGCCAATCGAAACAAAAAAGTAATTTGTTTTTTTTTTTTTTACGCATTCACAAAAAAAATTCTGGCACACATAACTAACTAGGTATCAAGCCATATATCTTTAAAAACCATTAGCGTCTTGGAGTGCATCTGAAAGCATATGGGAACGCCACATGGAATGGATCTCGAGTTTGCCTGAAATATCTTCAGTAGTAGAAAACCATGGGATCTTGGTAGACGTTGAAAAAGCCAAAGAAAACGTGTCGTTGACTTCGTGGAAATCCCAAAAGAAAAACTTGATGGCGTTAGTAGAAAAACCAAAAAAAGTTGACCTTCTTGAAAAAGCCAAAGAAAGCGTGTCGTTGACTTCGTGGAAATCCCAAAAGAAAAACTTGATGGCGTTAGTAGAAAAACCAAAAAAAGTTGACCTCCTTGAAAAAGCCAAAGAAAGCGTGTCGTAGAATTTGTTGAAATCCCAAAAGAAAAACTCGATGGCGTTAGTAGAAAAACCAAAAAAAGTTGACGTTTTTGTTGAAAAAACAAAAATGTTTATGCGCTCGTTGAAAATCCATTAAAGAAGTTGACGGGTTTGTTGAAAAACCAAGATAGTCGACACTGATTATTGCTTTTCTTGAAAATGGCATCGTCGAAAGCGTAGAGTCATCTACGAAATCGTTAAAAACTTCGTTTCAATCCAAAAAAAGCTCAAAGTACCATTAGAACAAGGAGCAATCAATATGAAGAGATTTACATTTTATTTACTAAAGACAAATAGTGTGCCAGAAAAAAAACACAAGCCAAATCGAGTGAGCAAAAAAAGCCAATTATATTCCTTATAAAAGCTTTATCCATGAAAACCACTAAGTGTAATCCTAAAAAAGCTACCACTGGCATGCCCGGTGCATGATAAAACGGAAAACTATCGCAGACTCGTCTTCTCTTCTAGAGGCAGCCGAGTTTGGCTGTTCTTGGTAGACTTGAACCACGACTGAAAAGCAAGACTACACTGGAGCAGCAAGTCAGGATTTTATCACAATCGTCAACCGAGGGAAGGGGTAAGGACATTCATCCGGCGGATTATCCTGACTGTACCTGGTCTTACGAGAGCACGCAACTGGCCAGTCTAACCTCAAGAAAAGAAGGCATATCTTAGGCGCTGTGTGAGGGGAGTGAGTGATCTGTACTGGCCAGCGTTACTCGAGTAAGCCTGAACTCCAGTAAACTAAAGTTCACACCTTTGATTTGTAGATCCTGTGTCTTCATCGACGTTAAGCGTTGCCAACTTGATGACTAAATTCATTTGAAAAACTAGCCTAGTATTGGCCAATTGACCCTGATCCAGAAGACCAGTCAAAAACACTCATTTTCCACCATAGCCCTCGTACTTTTAAGATGTGGTAGCTTTTTGTCAAACAAATAATCCCTGGGACCAGCCTTACATCTGGTTCCCTCTTAATTCTAACCTAAAAACTTTCTGTAAGATCAGTCGACAAAAAAGCATTGCAGAATATTTTGACTTGCAACATTTGAGCTAAATAACGAAAAAAAAAATTGAATTTCACCGGGATGTTTGCAAGTCAAAGACCTAACCTAGTGAGTTCAGCACAGAACAAGTTCCTTTTTGATTTAGGAACTGCTTCTCCCCATCTCTTTCCATCTAACTGCAATGCGACAATAGAAAGATAAAGAACAAGGTCGAGCCAGCCAAACCAAAATGCATGAAAAGCAATTTCATTTTCTTTTAACTTGTTCATGATCTTCCAACATTATCTCAGTCTTACGATACTCGGTAGTCTTCTTCTTGCTTCTAGTACTTTATATAACCACTTCCAATAATGATAAATGATCTGAAAAATGCAAAGAAATGTCAGCATATATATTTGTTAGGAAAAAAATAACTTTCTTGGCATGTTTTAAGAAAGAATAAGACAAACGAGTATTCGACGACTTTCCTCAAGATGAAAAGCGCGCCAAAATGAAAACATTAAAATTTTCTTTAAAATTTGGAAACAATCTAAAAAACATCAAATAAAAGTTGAAAATTATAAATTCAGTTACTAAAAATGAATGATTTTCCATCCAAAGACAACTGTTCAAACGATATCCAAGTTGCACAGTAAGATTTTGATGAAGCGCGCGAAACTAAATTGGAACACAATTTCGAACGAAAAAGTGTCAAAAATCAGAAAATATAAATTTTAAGAGTTACAATACCTAATTAAAAGTTACAATATCTAATAAAAAGTACAATAGAATATAAACGTTTGAAGAAAATTGCTGAAAACAAGATAATGTGGTCTTTTGGCTCATGGTCGCTTTGCACGACTTTTTGACACCGTGAATGGAAATTTTCTTTTAAAAGCAAAAATTGTAAAAGTTCTTGCTAAAAAAACAATTAAAAAACGACAGGTATTGTTTTACTTCACAATATTTTTGTTAAAAGTAAAGAAAGTTTCCAAATAATTTGTATTTTCCCATTGATAGTGACCAACAGTCAGTCAACTCGTGCATGTCTTTTGGGAAAGCGAAAAAGTGCTCTTATACATCAGAAAAACGGCTAGAAAAATAGCTTTTTATCTTGTGCCAGAAAGGTCCTGTGTAAAACTACACATTTTAATGGCCAAAAGTAGAAAAAATAAGACAAAATTGTAGTTTTTAGGTAATTTTTGTAGGAATAGAATGGTACATACCTTACTTTCTTCACGTCAACTTGATAATGAGTCAAAACCCCACAGCGCGCAAACCATGAAAACCCGAGTCTGCATTCCCACATGAATCAACTGTCAATCAAACAATACTAGCCAATGAGATTAGACTGCTTTCGAGATAATATGCAACGTGATTTGCTATTGTTAATGCACGTGATCATGCCACACATTTTAACCAATAAGATCAGTCTAATTTTCGCGCCTTTTCAGCTGTCATTCAGGAAGTCTTGTCCAATGGAATTTTATCATCGAAACGCCCTCTGCTTTTATTGATCACGTGAATAAACTGTCAATGAAGAGCTCTCATCCAATAGGAAGCGATGTTTGCGTCATTGTTCAACACACAACTGAGCAGAACGACGCACAAACGCAAGTAGGGAAGGTCATCAGTACAGTACCAGGGTATATGATCGAACCGTTGATACTGTTAAACAATACTGTACATAGATTAGTGAAGGGTTAATTAAAATAATGCACTTCATTTGGGCATAATGTTTTCATGATATCTAATAAAATATATTTATGTGTTTCATTATTACTATTTCTTTATCCACACCAGGATCCAATAAATAACGAGAGAATTTTCTCTGTTAATTTTTCTATTATCAAAAATTATTTTATCATAGTTTATTATAAGTATAGAGAAATAAAATCCCCAAAATTGCAAAGACTATACACTCTGGCGTTCATTGACGTCAAACCCAGCCATCACTGATTTTTATCTCTTATCTAACTTTTGACCCACCCATCCCATAAATGACGAAAGGCCTTTGATTATATTAGATTGTCATTTGTTAAACCTGACTGAAAAGGGGTGAAAAATCTTATGTAGGTCAGATATTTGATGCCTTATCTGAAACTAGCTGATATAAGGGTGCGCTGGATAAATTCTTACCCTTTTACCACACCTGGCGTTATCTGACTGAGGACAGTCATATTATTTTTATAGCTGGTTTAGCATCAGATAAGTCATTAACAGAAAACCCTTTAAGAGAAAAGTGATTGCAAATGAAAAATAGAATCAAAGCTAATTTTCTTTGACTGAAATTTTGTAGCTTGGGGTGTCAAAACAACCATCAAACATCAAGGGAAAGCTGACGTCGGGAAAGCTAGGGTCGCGCGTATTAGTTCTCGGTTGCTCGCTCACGCACTACCTAACCTGTGCTTCCTATGCGCTTTCCACACGGATATGAGGGCTTCTCAATAAAGTGAACAGGTGCAATTATTCGCTAAATAAATCAGTAAACGATAGTCAAATTAAACCTTTATCTTTTGAATTAAGAGTGTCTAGACATCAGAGAAGTCGTAGAGACAGCTCGGTTGTTGGTCATTAATTCTTAATTTCGCACGGAATAAAAGTAGTATTGTAGCAGTGGGATATATAGGCTAAACACAATGAAAGTGAACGTAAAAGTGCGTCCATATCAATTCTATTTTTGGTCACCATGTTTTACAAGCCAAGCGAAAGAAAGCATTCACTTTCTGGTAGTTGTGGTATGAGTTGAATGAATTCTCTTTCAAACCGGAAGTGGTTTCCTAATCGATCGAGTCTGGCAACGAGCCAATCATAATGCGTCGAAGTTTTGATCTAAGGAGCTCGCACGACCTACAGAACTGAAGACAGCTGAAATCAGGATTCCTATTCAGCCTTGGTTTTCTCATTCTCACGATGTCTCAAGCCTTTAAAAATCTTCTCGGAGAGAAGCTTATCGGTCCGAAAGGCCTAGTAGATGTCGAGAGCATAATCGGCGAAGGGAAAGTTATTGGATTATACTTCTCAGCACATTGGTGTCCGCCTTGTAGGGGCTTCACACCAAAGTTAGCAGACTTTTACCAAAAATTTCGGTCTACAAACGGAAATAAGCTAGAGATTGTGTTCATTAGCTCTGATAAAGATGAAAACCAGTTTCAGAAGTACTTTGAGGAGATGCCTTGGCATGCTGTACCGTTCAATGAACGCGAAAGAAAGGTTGGTTTATGCACTAATTATCATCAACGTGGAGACACTAAAACCATTATAAAATCACACAATTTCGATGACTAGTGTTAATCAATTATCGGCTATAACTCTAATGGATTTAATTGTTTGCTCTTATAATTTTCTTCCTATAATTTTACCTGGTGCGTTTATTACAATTCAATATCCTTTTATGAACAGTTAGTGAGACGTAGCCTTCAGACGATCTTTTGTTGAGCGCTTAAGGTCCAGTGTTTATGTATTTAGTATTGCTTGACCCACCACTGGGTAAACATCTAGTTTCTTTTCATTTACCAGATTTACATAATAACTAAATCTTGTATTACTTAGGACGTCTGCCATCATTACTATCGATATCAATCAGAAATACTACCCTTCGATGTTATTTATCTTGGAAAAATTGCGAAAAAACTCAAGCTATCTAAGCTCATTTTCCTCCGATGGATACGCGTTAAAATTGCATGAAATTATATTTGTATTGGTTTACTTAAAAATTAGAGTTGTTTAGTCTATTCATGTATTGAACTAAGATTAAGTCTAGCGATCCTCTTTCGTCCTAGTTTAAAGATTTTTGAAGTTCCTTTTGACATTTGTTTGTTCTGTACTTGATCAACATGCATGACTTTCCACAATCTAATACATTTTAAAGTTTCCAAAACAATATTCATGAATATAGATAGAAAGGAATGTTTATAGTTTAAGACTGATTTGAATAAACAACACGTTCTCCAAATTCCAAACAGTTTTAGAGATTATGCTTTTAACTAAAGCCAAGGTAAATGATTCCAAATGTTGTTGCAACATTAAAATATTATGGCATTTTTTTAAAAATGAGGCTTGTAAATGTGCATAAGTTTGGGGAAAAGACTTGAAGCAAGCATCGTTTTCCAATAAATCGATTAATCTGTATAATTATGCTATTGTATTTGCTTCATGGAATGCTAGGCTTGCATTGTTTATAACACTTTTTCTTTGTTATTTTATATATTTATATATATTTATAAAAGATATGAAATAATGGCTAGCTACCCTGTTTATATCAGGAAACAGAGACACACTCAATGCAAAATCGCTCAAAATTTTTTTGTGAAAGCAATATATAACACCTGTTTGTATCTCTACGCTGTGACATAAACACTCTGGGATCTACAGAGCACTCGAAAAGCAAAAGAAATAGATCTCAGCTATTCCTCGTCTTCTTAATCTTGCTTTTCTTTTGCTCTACAGCTCCTAGTAGAGTGAGCATCTTATATTCTTTAAATATCCTTCTTTTAAGCCAGTTTCCCTCACAACTGGGAAATATTAAACGGAAAACAAGAGTGTAGCGGGGGCATTTGTGACTACACCTCTCCACCAACTCCACCCCTGTAAAATATTACAAAAAACTGCAACAATATGCAAGTGCAATTTATATTGTAGCATTGCTGTTCATTACTACCTAAGTACAAGTAAGTACAGTTCTCCTCTTCATCCTTCTTCTCATCCTAGTGAGATCTCTCCTCTGCAGTCCCTCAAGAGTAGGCACACTCTCTGCTTGTTATTAGAATATATGTTGTCTAAAATCTGCCTCTTTTTAGAAAAAGCTTTCTCAAAAGTACAAAGTTGGAGGAATCCCTACATTGATCTTTGTTGATGGTAAAGATGCAAGTTTGATAACAAAGAATGGAAGAATGGCATTGATGGAAGACCCAAAAGGAGAAAACTTCCCATGGAGGCCCAAATCAGTCTCAGAACTGATGAAAGGAAAGCTGGTCAATAGTAAAGGAGAGGAAATTACTGTAGATGATCTGAAAGGGAAAGTGGTCGGTCTTTATTTTTCTGCTCACTGGGTAAGATTATATACACACAGCAAATGTGAAAAAACAGGGAACACTGTAGACCCCTACGTTTTAACAATGAACCAATTTTCAAGTCAGCAACCCAAGGGCGGATCCAGGGGGGGGGGGGGCAAAGGGGGGCTGAAGCCTCCCTTCAGCAGAAAACAATTAAACAAAACAAAACGAAACTGAAGAACTAGATGCTTTTCTATTGTTTTCTGTTGTGTTGATGGAAGAAACTCAATCAGCCCCCCCAAAACTCAATTAGTCCCCCCTAAAATTTTGGCTGGATCCGCCCTTGCAACCCTCCACCTTTGTTCCAAATTGTGCATATTATATAATTTAAACCCCAGTCTCCACCCAAAGCTACCATGGTCCTTGATAAACAGAAACATTTTGAACTTTTGAATTGACTATTTTTGCACAATAAAACTATTTCCCTTGATTACTCGGGTTTAGCCTTACACCTGTATTTCAGGGTCAAAATATTCACCAATACAAAGTAAAGAATGCACAACTTTAACAATACAAGCATTTTGAAACTTGATGGACCTTGACTGGAACACATGAATGTTCTGCACAAAATGTGTGAGGTTAATTTAAGCAACAGGGAACACAGAACTAGAATTATTTCTAGACTGTCATACTTTCTTACTGCAGTGTCAACCATACAATTTTAGTTTTTGCAGCTTCTGGTATAGACCTCTTGCAGCACAGCTCAATTTGGAGGAGAAAACAATGAGTTTCCAATTCTCAGGAGAGAATTCTTTGTTTCGTTCTCCAAATTGAGCTCCATTGACGTCACATGCTATTAATTGAAAAAAGACTTGTTTGGGTTTTGAGGTTTTTCAATATGGTATATATGCAAATATATTTTTAACATATTTTTATTTTTTTCCAGTGTCCACCATGTCGAGCTTTCACACCACAATTAGCAAAAACATACAATGCAATAAAAGCTGCCAACAAACCATTTGAAGTTATATTTCTAAGTTCTGATCGAGCTGATGAGTCTTTTCAAAGTTACCTAGATACCATGCCGTGGTATGCTGTTCCATATGATGATAGTATGAGAAAGAATAATGTATCTAAACATTTTGGTGTAGAAGGTAGGCATCAAGAATTTAAAAAAAAAAAATGAATAGGATTTGAAAGTAGTTGCACAGTTGGAAAGACTGGAGAACACAGAGAAAACCCCTTGAAGCACAGGAAAGAACCAACAAACAGCTCAACTTACATATGCTAGGAATCAAACCCAGATCACCTTGCTAATAGAGAGGCTAGTGCTCTCACCGCTACACCACCCCTGCTTCCCAAAGGGATTAGAAACAAAAAGCTGTATTTACATGTGAGGGAGAAAGGAATGGACAAATGAAAGGATGGATTGTAAAATAAATGATTAGTTGGATAAATGGATAGGCAAATGAATGGATATATGGATGGACAAATGAATGGATGGATTGATAAACAAGTGAAAAGATGGATTGGCAGGTGGATGGATGGATGAACGAAATGATTCAAATATATTAATAATTTCCCCCATTTATTTACGACTCAAGGTATCCCAACACTCATCATCATGGATGAAAACTGGAAGGTCATAACTACCAATGGAAGAGGGGCAATTGCTGCTGATCCTGAAGGCAAAGTAAGCTGAAGTTATCTCATCACATTTAGCAAGGGATTCAAAGTACCCCTTCCTCCTCCAAACATACACAGAGATTCTCTCTACCTCTACCTCTATTCTCTTTACCTAAAAATGCCATAAAAGTCCATTGAGATTTTTAGTGGTTCAAGTGCACTTTACTTTATCCAAGTACCACAGGTATCTTACGACCCTAATGATGGACTCTCTTATATTTCTTAAAGGAGTTCCCATGGAAGATAAAGCCGCTGTGCGAACTAAACGATCTTACAGCTTCATTATTAAACGAAGAACCATGCGCTATTTATTTTACAGGTTAGTTTTAGTTTCTTATATTAGGGCCTAGGGTTCTTGCAGGGTGGGTGCACAGGAAATGGAATGGAAAATATCTCTAAACTCACAGCCATCTAGAAAATTGGTATAACATTCCTAGTATTTGCAAAACCAAAGAAAGAAAAAATGAATCATCGCTCCTATAACCAAACCTAGAATTTTCGGAGGCAAAAAATTCTAATTCAATAATAGGTGCGTGATAATTAAATGCTACAATTTGCAAATCGAAAAGGAGTAAAAATGAATGTGTCAGCGGACCTTCCGCTTGTGTGGGGTGGTGCCATGCACCCAATGTATTCCCCTTGGTTACGGCCCTGTATACTAAAGGAGTAAATAAAAATCCTGGTTCCCTATGAAATGTTTTGGGGAAAATGTCGCATTTCCGGTATCCTTACAGTTGAAAACGAGTCATTTTTCATTTGTGGGAACTCTGTATACTGAATCTGATGGCTTGCGCTTTAAACCTTCAAATCAAACATTTCTTGAATTTAGTAATGAGGTCGTAAAATCTCTTTTATCTTATGATAGCACAGACATTATGACTCACCGAGTCTAAAGGAAAGGGTTCTTTTGAAACTCTAACTCTTGAAAAGCCTCATCAGTATTTGAGCTATGCCAGCCTCTGTCAAGTGGTTTTCCTAAAAGTATTTTTGTATGCGACCACAATGCAGCCTAAAATACCTAGAAGGTCACAAAGGTGGCGCATTAGAGAAGCGCTAATTCAAAGTTTTATTGACTCAGTAGGGCAGCGAATGAAATTTTGCGGGTTTTGATCATTGGTGTTTATCAAGGCAAAGTAGTAAATTCATATCTATGTGGAGGACCGAGGGCGCTGGTATCGATTGACACTCAAATGAGGCTGAATTGTTTATTGCAAAAAAACTTCCGCGTAAAAGCTGAAATCTTGTTTTGTTTTGTTTCTTTGCTTCGTACGTAGAAGAAACTCAGAAGGAAAAACAACAAAAATAATCCTTTTTGTCATTTTCCCTTTTATTTCTGTCTTCACTTGTGCCTCAGTTTCTTTTTCAAACTCCACATGTTTCCTATATCTTTCAGACGGAGAAGAACCGACCTTAAAACACGCAAAGGAAATCCTACAGCCATTGGCAGAAAGCTATGCAGCCGAAGCCAAAGAGAAGAACGAAGATCTACCCATCCAGTTCTTCTTTGCTGGCAATAACGAGGTAGTAGAAAGTCTTTTAGACTTCGTTGGGATCAGCGAAGAGAACATGTTAGCCATTGTCGATATACCAAACGGCAAGTTATTTGTTTGCGAGAATGACGTCGTCACAGCTGATGCAGCCAAGCAGTTCATCTCGGATTATTTGACGGATAAACTTCAGGGACGCCCATTAAGATAAAAGCATTGAAAAACAATAACAAATTAAAGAACTTTAGGTTTGGATAAAAAGATTCGCTTGCGTGGCCGGCTTTTGTTCATTTTGCCAAAAGACCTACAAAGACCGGGGTAGAAAGAAGTGAACGAAAACCGACCGCAAGGCAAGCTTACCAGTAGTTAGACATACTCCTAAATACAGCATTGGTTTCCGGCTCAGATATAAGTAAGGCTCAAGAAAAAAGCATAAAAGTAAGAAAAACCTACAAATTTCCTTCTTATAAGCTCCAAACGTGCTCCTTGAAGTGTTATTCATTACTAATGAAAAGGAGGTTTTCCTGCTCTTAGGAAATCCCCGTACTGGAATTCGAGCCAAGCTTATGCCGGAGAAACAGAAAAAACATTGGGTTTTTACTATTGTACTCAGAAAATTTTTTTCCAGGTATCTTTTGTATATTAGCCAGTCGTAAAACTTGCATATTTTTAACTTGCACCGTTTTATATCGAAATACCTGTGGCGAAAAATCTACATTTTTGTCTTGACATTCAATTAGAAAAACAATCCGGTCCAGATAAACATTTTCTCTCTCTCTCAGTGGAAAGGGAATGATATTACCTTAAGTGGAACAATCGTCTATTTTTAAGATATCGAAACAAGGTTTTGAATAAGCTGTTTCTTTGTTGAAATATAATATAATATAATCGCTGTACATGTATTTTGAGGTAAAATGTAATAGCACTGAAAATAAAGTAAAAAACAACATTTTGAAAACAGAAGCATACATTTTAAGGTTTCTCTTCTCTTTTCCAAATTTACTGTTTACGAGTTGCTAGGGGAGACTATTTTTTTAGAAGTGTCATCTTTTTGATCAAAAATAACTGGAGACCATACTTCCCGACTTCGAATGCTGAAGCTTCGGTTGCCATACAAACGCCACTAGACCGCCCCCCAAGACCGTAGTATGATTAACCCGATATGCTACCGCGAATGATATTAAACACATCGATGTTCACCCAATATAGTCTCCTGTACTTTGATTTGTGTTTCACTTCTGGGCAACTGTAGTTTGGTGCACATAGACACCGTACGTACCAAAGAATAAGGGTATCCCGAAGCTCCTATCAACGCTTAGACATTTTGAAAAATTTCTTGGCAGGATCAGAAAGTTTAATGTTTTTAAAAATCTAACTTACGTAAAGCGCATGCGATCATTCCGACAAGTAGTATGCGCTAAATAAGCCAATAATGAATTATTATTATCATTCATTTCAAAGTATAAAATTCCAATTGATTTAGCTAAGATGGGGCTAGAAAATAGAGGTTTGGTTAGGAAAAAACGACCAAATAAATGAAAAGGGTACCAAAACGAGGCTAATTGTTGTACACGTGTATGTGGTCAGCGGTATCCATTCGGTGGCCATTTTGTCTTCTTACACGATCTTTTGTCTAATATTTCTTGCTTTAAAAGCTCTAACAATTTTAAAAGATTTATGCTCCGTGTCGTTTTAGACTTGATTTCATATTTTTAATTCCCTAAATGGCCGATCGTGTTCGTAGGAGCGCGCGAAAACGCGAGCGAAGTCTGCTGGGAATTCCCGAAGCCTCGCGCGAACCCTCGACAGACAACGAGGACCAGTATTCAAACTTGAAGGTAGTAGAACTGAAAAAGCTACTCAAAGCTCGAGGTTCTACTACTTCTGGATTAAAAGTTGAGCTAGTAAGTCTTTTTTTAATTATATACACAGCTATGTGAGTACAGCTATGTGAGTCTAGAAAATGGCCGAGTGTTGAAAGTAGTTTAAATGTTCTTGGTGATTGTTTTATCTTGTGAAAGATTGCTCGGTTGAAACAGTTGGATGTTGATGAAAAAGCTGCAACGCCGCTCGAGGAAATGCCTGTTAATTCTTCCAACAAGTACGTATTAGAACTTGACCTCTTCTCTTCCATACATGATGGTTTATCTTTATATCGTAGCTCAATTGAGTAGGTATATTCTTTTATTTCGGTTGGCCTGTAGAGTAAGAAATTATCACTGACTCATCACTTGGGATGAAAGACCTAAATTATTTGTTTGTTGTAACCAAACTTCTTCAAACTCAATCTAATGTTACGTCCTTTATAAAACTTTATCTGTTTTAGCATCAATTTTATCTCTTATTTTATTGCTTTGTGAAAATACTATAAAATTTTATTTCACAACAAGTTCATGCTTAGCAACCGGAAATCCTCTTGCCTAACTAAATTATGTCAGGGTAAATTGTTTTTGACATGACCTGTCTTGCTTTTACCAGATCTTGGAATCGTTTAATGTTTAATTAAGTCAGTCATGGCCATGGTTATAGAGTACATAGATCACGTGTCTCTGCATGTTGTGCATGTGATTTTAATGAATTAAAAATATGGGAACACACTATCTCTCTTATTATGGTTACAAATAAAGAAAATTACACTTTGATAATTTCCCCCTTAATGATCTAAGTCAGTACCAACAAGCATGAATAATTTTTTAAAGAAATAAAATCATGCTAGAAATAAGCATGAAAAATACTACAGCCCTACGGTATCACTACTATAGTATCATTACACAGGTGATTATTTGAAAGAAAATAGTCAACATTGTTTTTTTATAAAACTTATATTTATTCTTTATTTTGAAAGCAGCATGCATCTACAAACAGCACACACACAATAATATATTCACCTGTAGGTGATAATCTAGAAATATTTAAAAAGTTCTTGACCAATCAGCATGCACAATTTTCTATAATCACCTGGGTAATGATATTAAATCTATTATAGGCTCAAATGTTGGCCCACAGGGTTTGAATTTCACTTTCAAGATCACAAGCTAAAAAAAGCTTTTGGGTTTTAAAGTTACAAGCAAAATTATAAAATTGTTCTGGCACTTTCTGCGAAAAAGAATGGGGATACGTCAACTTGCAAAAAGAAAAAGTGGTCTGATATATTCTCCACCAACAAACTGGAAAAATAATGAGCATTTTCCTGTTTTGCAAATATTCCAAACCCTGACCCAATCTTTCAATTGATGTATTACTTATTTCATAGATCTGGATTTCTAAATCACAGCACTGACAAAACAAGAGAAAGAATGAAGTCCACAAAAGGTTCGTACAGCTGACAATGTGTGTCAATACTTGGTGTTTCTATTGTTAGGGTTTGTTATAACACTAGTATTCTTATTATGATATGTCCTATCTGTAATTTTTCGATTATTACTGTCTAAGGTTTTTGTAAGTATGAATTTTAACAATATTTTCAATATTACATGAACTTCAGTAACTATACACAGATTTAAATAAGAAATATTTCCTTTCCTTTTTTCGTGAGTAATTTTTTCTGAAAAAGTTAAGTGTAGTATTATCAAATAAATCTTATCAAATTCTTATTTCAGGGACTGAGAACAACATTAATCTTGTTCAGAATAGTGTGGACAGTAGTGGTATAAATGACGTCAACAAGAAGGAACTAGATTATGAAGAAGAAATGAGGAAACAAAGGAAGATTGACCAACGAGAGCGACATAAAATTGTCCTCTGGAGGAAACCCTTGACCACATTGACATATTTTTTTCTTGAGGTTCTGATTCTCCTCCGTGATTATAAAGAAAGGTAAAAGTTTTCTAGAATCATCGTTATTCAAGTTATAAAAATAAGATTCAATATTAGCTGGGTATTGATGACTTAATTTTGCTCACATTTGATGCCAAGTTTAGCAATCAAACGGGCCAGTTTACATTAGGAATTTTGGAATCAAGGGTGGTGTAGTGGTAGTGCACTTGCCTCTCACCCCTAGGTTCTTGGGGTCTATAGAGTACTCAAGTGTGACGTCACAAATATATTTTGGCTTTAATTATTTTTTTCTTTGCATCGCATATGAGTAGAGGAATTTGTTTCTCTCTTAATTTAAGGGTTTGTCCAGGTCTCAGGTTTTCCTCATGAAGAACAAAACTGTTATGTTTTTGTTTCTATTAATTGAGGCTGGTGGTTCGGAGTTCTGCGTGAAAACCGCACCGTATATGATATATTTGTAAATTTGTTTATCTTTAGATAGGTGTCTCCAATTAGCCTACTTTAATGTAAGCTAGATACTTATGACATAAAAATAAAGGTTATTATTGTTTTTTTTTTTGTTTTTTTTTTTTTGCAGAGTTCTTAAACACAGAAAGACCTGTTCCTTAATCTCATTTATTACTATCTCTGTGCTAATTGTGTATTATGTAGACGGTGCTCACCACCAGGTATGAGAAATAATATCTGAATTGACAATCACAGAAAAGAAACATTGAAGTGACCATGTCATATTTAAGGAATATAAAACGTGCATGCACGTCTCTGTACTGTGATATAAACACGTTAGGAGCTGTAGAGCATGAGATAAGAAAGCTTAGAAACACAAGTTTTAGTCAAGTGTTTCTCTCATTTTTTCGGTACTCTACAGCTCACAATACAGATATAGAAGCAGCCATTTTGTATATGCTTTATATTTTTGAATAATTTTGCATGAGCATGTTGCTGTCCTTTGATATAAACACAGCAGCCAGCCAATTAGTGTGCACATTATATTTCAGATATTTATATAAATATTGCTTTAAATTTATAATTCTCTGATCCTTTAAGATCAACCAACATACTCTATCTCAAATATTCTTTAAACTCCAATATACAAATGATGTGAACCAAAGACTGTTCTTTTTCTTACAGTATTTAGATAGGATTGAAGCATTTGGTGTTCTCTGTGCATATTGGATAGGCCTTGGGGTACTTTCATCAGTTGGCCTTGGTACAGGTCTACATACTTTTCTTCTATACTTGGTAAGCAAATATAACAATATATACCCAGTAGTAGTTCATTTTATTGGGTGTAAACAAATTCTGTGCAAAAATTACTCGCCCTCCTCACTCTTAGGGAATTCTTGTCATGGTGGGGTGCAAATATTACTAACCCTCCCCACTCTTAGGAATCCCAGTCAGGGGTGAGGGGTGAAAATATTTCTTCATTATTGCCTTCATAATAATTAGATATCTATTGTATTGTTCTTATTTAGGGCCCACATATTGCTTCTGTAACTCTGGCAGCTTGGGAATGCGATTCACTAGACTTTCCTGAACCACCTTATCCTATTGAGTAAGATATAACCTATTGGACCTATTGCTGTATAGCCAATCAAAATGCTTGATTATGTATTAGTCCACTAGTTTATTGATATTAGTCCACTAGTTTGTTTTGACTGCTCTTTAGTGAGATGTCACCAGACCTATATATATAATATTACTTAACGCATTAAATAGTTACTAGATCAATATAGATAGTAGATCTTACAGTAGATTAGTTTTACTTAACCTGTGCAATACTTACTACACTAATGAAGATTAGTTAATCTTATTCCTTTTTTGTTTGTGTCTATTTGACTATAACACATCAACTTTAGCATAGCCAATAAGGATGTAGCATTTATAATAGTCCTCTGGTTTGTATATATTTAAACTAAATAGACGCTTGCTTTTCAATGTAGTATCATCTGCCCTGAAAATAATTCCAGTCCTTCCAACCCTGTTACCATGTGGTCAATAATGAGTAAAGTTAGACTGGAAGCATTCATGTGGGTGAGTAGACTATTTTATTCTTGTAATGTAACTAAGTTAATAAATATACAGTAATATTATAATGATAATCCAGTTAGTGTCTTACCATTGATAACCCATATAGAGGCTGTGCACCATCACGTGTTGGCAGCCATGACCGAAGACACAACAATATTCTTTGATTGCACGTTACGTCATCGCGGCCATGTTGGTGCCATTTAACAAAATATTTCTCATTAGCATCCATTGTTAACGGCACCACAACGGCCACCATGTCTTTGTCTTTTGACTCTCTTGGAAATGCTTGCAACCCATCAATAGAATCTTTTCCCCTGGGAAACTGAATTCTTTCTCATGTAAATCAGATTAGACCAGATCACATGATGGTGCAAAGCCTCTATTGGTGCCAAAAGCATTGAGTAAATAAGTTATGTGTTATCGTTAGGGTGCTGGAACAGCCATTGGAGAACTACCTCCATACTTCATGGCCAGAGCAGGTATTGTATCACATTGAAACAGAGATTTCAAAATGTCAATTTTAGTTGGATCCAAAAACAAATGAATCAGCCGCAAGATTAAAATGGAATGGAGTGAATTGGAGTGGAATGAAATGGGTTTAATTAAGATGAAGGAGGGGAGGAGAGAAGAGAAGATAGTGGAGTATAGTGGGGTCACAAGAGTGCATTGGAGTAGAGTAATGGAGTGGAGTGATGAAATGGAGTGATGGGGTGGAGAGAAGAGTGGAGTTGAGGGGAGTGGAGTGGATGGAGTGGAGTACAGTAGAGTAGAGTGGAATGCCAAAGATAGAATCAAACTGAAAAGGATAGAATATAATGGAATTGAGTCTATGAGAAAGGAAAATCAAGTTCATATGTCTTTGCTTGTATTTGCTTAGCTCGTTTGACAGGGGTAGAGCCAGATGATGAAGAGCTAAATGAAGTAGAGGAACTAGAACGCATGACATCAGCAGCCGGTCAAGATATCTGGACTAGGACTAAGAAATTCATTCATGATTTAGTTGAGAGAGTTGGCTTTTTTGGGATCCTTGTCTGTGCATCGGTAAGATGTCAGTCAACTTTTCACCCATTATTCGTTGTATCTTTACCATTGTTTATTTATTTTGATAATCTCGCTACGCCACTGATAACTAGAGTTACTTTCAAAATAAATTTAAAAGCTCGTTATTTATTTGTCCAGGTACCAAACCCACTGTTTGACTTGGCTGGTATAACATGTGGTCACTGCCTCGTTCCTTTCTGGACCTTCTTTGGAGCGACATTGATTGGCAAAGCTGTCATTAAAATGCATATACAGGTACTTTACAATCCTCCCGTCACACAAGGCTCAGGGAATGTTCATTTTTTTAAGGGCCGGGGGGCACAAAATATGGCATTTAAGGGGGTACCCCACTTCCACAGAGCGGTATGTGGTGGGAAAAGGTCATGTGACCCGTACTACTGCCTATCTTTTCTATTTCCCTCATACTTTACAAATTGAAAAACGTTGTCTTCTTTTGTAGAAAACCTTTGTAATCTTGTCGTTCAGTAAACATTATGTTGAAAATGTTCTCGAATACATCGGGTAAGTATATCCCATTCTGTATTATTCACTGTCGGTTAGATGCTGCTTCCCCCCCTCCTCCCTCCCCAGTCTCGTACCCAGAGCCCACGTTCCTCTTGGTAAGCACCGAGAAACGAGAAGAAAGACTCTTTCTATAGTTTTTTCCCCGTACCACCAGAATGCTCGAAATATCGGCCATAGCCAGAGCCTCTTCATTCTCGGTACTAAACCAAGAAGGAATGTGGGTTCTGGATACGAGATACTTCTTCCCTCCAAGAACACGAAGACATGATTGAAAGCAAGATCTTCGTTTTTCAGTATCGCGTCTTATATATGTATATGCCTAGCTGTTTTTGTGGTAATCATTTTATCTTTTCTTCCAGTGGTATTCCCACAATAGGGCCGTACATACAAAAACCCTTCAAAATCGCCCTGGAGAAGCAAAAAGAAAAACTTCATCGACGGACCGGCGCACAGGCCAAAGTAACGGTAATAGAGAGTTTTAGATTTACGTTCACGGCAAACGTGAAACGTCAGTTGACCAGTAAAAAATTCTTTTAAATTACTGAAAAAGAATCGCAAAAAAGTCCAAGTAGTAGAAAAAACAAAAGAGTATTTGCGCTTAGTGAGAAGGTTTGTAAAAGGTAAAGTAAAGTACAGGAAAACTATGAAAACGTGGTCACGTTTGCAGTTTGCGGGGAGAAAAAAAAGTCAATCTAAAACTCTCTAATCTTTCTCAGTCTCCTTTCCTGTTGTTCACTGAACTCGGAATACGGACATTTCTCACGCGTGACAGCCACCTTGAATGGAACAATATTGTTTTCCTGTGTAGAGTCGTATTTGAAATCTTTAGAATGAGTTTATCCGGGAATGGTAAAAGGTTTATTTTCTTATTAACGGAGGAAATTAATGTTATACTGAGATACCACAGGCAACCCAGTAACAAAAATAGCTGGCATGTGATGGTGGCCCTTGGACATGGACTTAATCACACGGCACCATGTTTATTCCCATGAGAATAAAAACCTTTGTTTAACCATTTGTAACCTCATTCTGGAGGGCTTGAATACGAGGCTACGTATAGAAAACTTATTTTTCAAGCCAATGTGGCGGGCGCTTGAGAACTGGTCCATTCCATCAGGGAAAAGCGAAAAAAATGTTTATCGGTTAACGATGTGTTCTTTCGATACAGGAACCCAACATTCTAGCCTGGATCTTCGAAAAGCTCGTCATAGCCATGATTGTCTACTTCCTGCTGTCAATCATCAACTCCACCGCACAGGCTTACGCTAAACGATTGGACGAGAAGAAGAGACAGGCAATGAAACCTGCGAAGGGCGAGTAGACTGGGTACAATGTGGTCTGGGTACCAACTAGACTGCATGGGTAGAGTGGGTACTGGGTACATCACTGCCCTTGTCAATTTTAACAGTCCTTTAAAGTGCACATGAACCCTTCGACAATACTTTCAGTACTGATTCT